CATTTTTATTATCTTGCAAGAAGAAAGTCTGAATTTTCCACGGAAGCCGGCTCAAAATATTTGATCTTAGGTGCATTTTCCTCTGGAATATTATTGCTCGGTGCGACCGAACTACAACCGGCAATTTGATTTTTGTTTTTGAATATTTTGAAATTTGAATCATTCTTATCATATAACTACATACTTGTTCCCATGGCAACTAAATTTTCATTGTCATCACAACTCAAATTATAGAACTATGGCAATTCAAATCATTTGTCTTTTTTTCTTTGTTTTTTAGTGGTCCATGGCAATCAATACGTGAATCTGCCATGTATGATTTTATTTGGTGGTATTTTTAGTTAAAATACTGCTTTTGTTCACATGATAACTAGCAGTTTTAGCTATACGTGCATATTTTTTCTTGTGCTTTTAGTTGTATGTTATATATGGAATCCTAGATACTATCATAGTTTGTGGTTTTTTTCTCTTCAATTTTTAGCATGTCAGGTTCTTTTTTTTTTTGATTTTCTGAAAAAATAGGATGTACAATACCTGATCAAGTTAACATGATGGCGCTTTTTCATGTACAGCATGCCATTGTGTCTGTGTGTGTGTGTGTGTGTAAAATGTATTTAAAATGGGGTCCAAACGCTGCTTTTTTTAGCCCAACTGTTTGGCGCTGAGATGTTTAGCAATTACTTTTTTTAAAGCAAAGACTGCTTTATTACTCAAACGACATGGGCACTATCGCCCAAAACAATCACAGCAAGTTCAGCTCGTACATCATCGTCATACACAAAAACATCCCCCTAGCCCGGAGTTTAAGCCTACTTTTGCTAAAAAGTGAGCTGCATGATTCACCTCACGGGGGCAGTGTATGATTTCGCACACCGAGAACCACAAGTTCCTCTGAACCTTGATGTCTTTCAATTAGCTGCGCCTCCCTGGAGAAGTCTGGCTTTCTTCGGTTCAGCGCCTGCACTACGAGCAGAGCATCCGTCTCAACCTACATCCTCACCACACCCAGCTCGGCAGCCACTCCAATCGCCATCTCCACAACTCGAAGTTCCGCACCAAAGGAGTCAAAGACATGGGGAATCCGTCCTGCCCAAGCTGCAATGATTTCGCCATGGCTGTTCCTTGCTACTGCACCCCATGCTGCCATTTGTTGATCCGAGACAAAAGCCGCATCCACATTGATCTTAATTATGTCAGCGGGTGGTGGCGCCCATCTCACAGCCTCCCATGTGTTTGTTGGCTGCTTTTTTGCAAAACACCCCTGATATTCCCTCGCAGTGCATGCAGCCCTATACACAAAGTCCTGAGTCTCGAGCGGCTTCTCTCCTTCTCTGATCTTGTTTCTCTGTGTCCACCATAGCCACCACATGACGATTATTTGCATTCGCTGCTCCTCTGGAAGCTTCCACAGCTCATCCAGTGTTTCGGTTATGCTGTCACAGGTTGCCACCTTGACCCGAATGTGCTCCGCCCTCATTTCCTGCCACACCGGCTTGATCTCCCTGCACTGAACGAATAAGTGTTTCCCTGATTCTGGGCTGGAGTTGCATAAGAGGCATCTGTGGTCCTCAATCTTCACTCCCCTTCTCTGTAGAATGTCTCTGGTCGCTAGCGTGTTGTGAGCACACCTCCACAAGAAATGCTTTATTGACCCCGGGCACGACATTTTCCAAATCCTCTTCCATCTCACATCTCCTTCATCATTCAAATTACCCTCCCCGGGGGCATTTGCCGTGCCATCATTTCCCTCATTTTCCATGATTGCACGGTGTATCTTGTAGCTTGTTTCACAGAAAACTCTCCCTTTGTATCAAAGTGTCATGCTTGGAAATCCTCTGCACCCTCCCGAAGTGGCATATTCAAAATTAGCGTTGCACCCTCCTCCCAGAAAGTGTCCTTTACTAGTTCGTCATCCCATTGTCGAATAGCCGGATCAATTAGGTCCGAGACCCTGGTCAGGATATTGGCCCCCCTCGGTGTGATGACTCTACGTGTCCACGCTCGTGATATCCACGGATCCTCCCAGATGTCAACATTCACGCGATCTCCAATCCTCCATAGCACTCCTTTTTTCACCAGGTCAACGCCATGCAAAATGTTACGCCATGCGTACGACATATTCTCCTCCAACGGTGCTTCCAACACACTTGTCTCAGGGTAATATCGAGCCTTTAACAAGCGGGCACACAAGCTCTCCGGGTTCTGTAGAAGTCTCCAAGCTTGCCTAGCTAACATAGCTATATTAAAGGAGTGAATGTCACGGAACCCCAATCCTCCTCTACCCTTCGGCTTAATCAGCTTAGGCCAGCTAATCCAGTGCATTTTGTTCTCCATCTCCTGATGGCTCCACCAATAACGTGCAATCAGAGTGCTCAACTCATCACAAAAAGTTCTTGTGAGATAGAAGCAGGACATTGCAAAAATTGGTATTACTTGCGCAACGCCTTTCACAAAGATTTCTTTTCCCAGCCTTGACAGGCATCTTTCATTCCATCCCTGCATTCTACTCCATATCGCGTCCTTGAGATATGCAAAAGCCTTCCTCTTAGACCTTCCTATGTATACCGGCAGTCCCAGGTACTTTTCATTATAAGCCTCACTTTGAATATTTAGGGCACCTTTGACCACGATCTTCGACTGCATGCTGCTGTTCTTACTAAACATTATGGCTGATTTTTCGTGGTTTATATGCTGACCCGAGCAGCGTTCGTATACTGCAAGAATGCGTTTAGCGATTACTTGTCATGAAGGGGGGGGGGGTCGCTGAGAGGGATTTCCTTCAGCAATCGATTTCGTTCACTCCTTACGCACCCTGCCGAACGAATTCTTCACCCACGCAACTCCCATAGCCGCAGCTATTCGTCAAAGAAAAAAAACGTCCACCCTCAGACAAGTGGGGTCCCCAGACCAGAGCAGAGCAGACCAGATCCGGTTCGGATTACGAGCCCTATTAGGGCATCTTCAACAGGTTGTATGTTAGTCTTGTTGGTAAAATGCCCATGTCATCAACCAACAAACTATCATACAACTACTTCAATGGGTTGTATGTAAGCTATCCAATAGATGGTGAGAAAAGAAATGTGGTTGCTCTTTATTTCACCTTGGAGCTTGTGCAAAGGTTGTTGGCTAATCTATATACAACTTTGCTCTCTCTCCACATTTAATATATACCACATCATCATTATGTCCTATGTAACAAATTTACCAACACCTATCTTACAACTATTGAAGATGCCCTTAGCAAACGGGGAAATCACAGTCCATCGCATCAACGCACGGAACACAGCAGCACACGGGCGTGACACCCACACGGAGCTCCGAGCGAATAAGCCAATGGCGAGGGGGCAGAGGGAGAGAGAGGGTGTGAGAAAGCGACGCAGGCGCCAACCACAGCCGCGCAAACGACGCAAGAAGAGGAGGAGCCGGGCCGAGCCGAGCCGAGCCCCGGGGTGGGTCGGAATCCCATCCCCCGCCCCCACCCGTACCCGCACGCATCCATCCATCCATCGATCCTCTCTTTTGGATAGCGTCAAACCTTTGCCCGCTGCCGAAAATAGTCGGCGTCGCCCTGCTCGAAATGGCGACCGGGTAGGTCTGGTCCTCCTCCCTCCTCCCTCGTCTCAGTCCTGCACGCTGCACGCCGCACGCCTCTGCCCCTCCCCTCCCCGCCCCGCCCGCAGCGCAGGCAGCGGCACAGGCTCAAACGCAGCGCAGCCAGGGAAAACATAGCTCAGGTGCCCGTGGCTGCGGACGGGCCCTACCGCCGTACCTTCGCTTGTTTAAAGCCCCATTGGCTGCCGCCTTTTTCTTGTTAAGTCGTTTCTTAACACGCTTTAAAGCCCCCCTAGTGGCGCTTCTTTTTTCTTCACCCCACTCTACTGTTTACATTACTTCCCTTTAGATTAGATTTCGGCGGTGCGGTGGCTATTTTGATTTTGTTCGTCGCTGCTGATGTTACGTAGAAACTCCAAATTTAAAATGACCGCGGCACATCCCACTCATTGCCAGTGTAATACCACTACAAAAACAATTCTCTACATGCACAACACAAGTGGGAGCTAGTTTTGCGAGAGAAAACTGATCGAGAATTCAGCGCCACTTGCGCCGGCGGCACCGTTGCTTCTTGCGATCCTCACCGTCACCCTCATCACCCGCCACCGTCTTGTTTTATTTTTGCCCCGTTTCATGATGATTCAGTTCAGTCAATCAAAAGCAAAAGGATAACCCCTGTTGTAATTCAACCAATCAAAAACCCAACTTTTCTGCACACCCAAGCTCAGTTCAGCTCAGTTGAGCCGACATGGCGCAGGCAGCGTCAACCGTGGGGGCATTCCGGTAAACACGCACCTGCAAGGGAAAGCATCGGCGCACCGGCACACGCACCCCCGGCATCTCTCTCTCTCTCCCTCCCTCACTGTGGGGGCACGCTGGTCATTTCCGGCTCCCGTGCGACGGTGCGAGCGAGCATGGCCCCGACCCGAGGGCGCTCACTCCCACACCCACACACACGCATATAAAATTTGCTCCACGCACACACAATCACAGACCCCCCAATCCATGCGTGGATTAAACTAGTTCCGCAAAAGCAGAGAAGCCAAGCCACCACCACCGCCTCCCTCCTTGGTTTTGCTGCTCGATCTCCTCTCTTTTTTCTTCTCTCTCCCTCCCTCCATCGCTCGCCGTAAAGAAGCCATAGGCAGGCGGATAGGAGAGGAGCGAGTAGCGTAGTAGTAGCTCGGGAGGGAGATCGAGCGGAAGGTGGAGAAAAGAAAGCAATCGAGTGTTTCTGCTCCCCGGCTGGAAAGTCTCCCATCTTTTCTTTTCCCCTGGGGAAGCTGAATTGGTCGATTGATTCGCGTGCTGTGTGTGCGTGCGCGGTCATGGCGACGAGGCGGAGCTAGTTAGTGGAGGAGTCACGCTTCTTGATTTCTTCGGTTCGGCTCCGAGCGGAGAATTATTGGTGTTTGGGAGGAAGGAGGGGTAGGGGAGCAAGCTAGCTGATGTACGGCTCGCCGGCGTCCAAGGATCTGAACCAGCCGCCGCCGCCGATGAACTCCTCCGGCCTCCTCAGGTACAGATCGGCGCCCAGCACGCTGCTCGGCGAGGTCTGCGAGGAGTTCCTCCAGCCCGGCCCCCGCGCCGCCAGCCCCGACGCCGCCGCCGCCGACAACGTCTTCTCCCGCTTCCTGGCCGACCACCAGATCCGAGACACCAAGCCGCCGCCGCCGCCGCCCGTCGCCCCGGGGGCCCACTTCCCTGATGACTCCGCCATGGCATCGCAGCAGCAGCAGCAGCAGATGATGTTCCACCCCCAGCACCAGCACCACCACCACCAGCAGATGCCCCCCGTCGGCGTCGAGGGGCTCTACCGCACCGTCAGCTCCGCTGGGATGGACTCCGCCGCCGCGGCCACCGCCGGAGGCGCCAGCAGCCTGCTCCGGCAGAGCAGCTCCCCCGCCGGCTTCCTCAATCATTTGAACATAGACAACGGTCGGTACTACTCCTCTCCTCCATCCTTAATTCGGCCTTCTTTTGGTACTACCCGCGGTTCCATAGTTCCTAGTCGCCGCAATTATTACAGCTCGCTCTTGGCCAGTTCTTGTTGGGAGCATTTCCATTTCGGGAACTAAATCCTGCGTCCTCCCGCCGCTCAATTCAGGGTACGAGAGCATGCTGAGGCAAGGCATGGGCGTGGGCTTCAGGAACGGCGCCACCAACGCCGCCGCGGCCGTGGACTCCTCTGGCAGCGGGGGCGGCAGGCTCAAGGGGCAGCTCAGCTTCTCGTCGCGGCAGGGCTCGCTCATGTCCCAGATCTCGGAGATGGGCAGCGAGGATCTCGGCGGCAGCAGCCCCGAGGGCGCCGGGGGCAGCCGCGGCTACATTCCCGGCTACCCGATGAGCTCCGGGTGGGAGGAGTCGTCGCTCATGTCGGAGAACATGTCCGGGATGAAGCGCCCACGGGACTCGTCAGAGCCTGCTGCCCAGGTGCGTCGAATTACACTAGCATTTCATTCCTTGTCGTGAGCACCGAATTGACGGGGTTTGGCTTGGCCGGTGCAGAACGGCCTGGCGCACCAGTTCAGCCTTCCCAAGACCTCGTCGGAGATGGCCGCCATCGAGAAGTTCCTCCAGTTCCAGGACGCCGTGCCCTGCAAGATCCGGGCCAAGCGCGGATGCGCCACGCACCCCCGCAGCATCGCCGAGCGGGTAAGTAAATCCACGCTGTTCTTGCGCACGATTGCTAGTTGTTTTAGATTGCCAGTATTGTTGCACACGATTGCTGCTACTAGTCTTTCTAGATCAAGCTGATCAAGCGGTTAATGTGCTGCTGATCTTTGCCCAGGTGAGGAGGACAAGAATCAGCGAGCGAATCAGGAAGCTGCAAGAACTCGTCCCAAACATGGACAAGGTACACACTCTCGGCAGGCACCCCCACCACTCTGTAGCCTGTACCAATAGGAGATAGAACAGTGTATGGTTACCAAATGTGCTATGCAAGGACCACACCCAAAACTAACTTGTCCCAAACCTGCAACTCCATATTTCTCTGCAGCAAACCAACACGGCTGACATGTTGGATCTGGCTGTCGACTACATCAAGGAGCTCCAGGAGCAGGTCAAGGTATGCAAATTATCCTCCCAATTACCATAAACTTTTTTTCAGAGAGTGGTAAAATAAACCGACGTCTAGTTTAATTTGTGGGTGGGTCAACCTTTCCTGGCCAGTGAGGTCTAAATCAAGAAGCCGCTTTTGCCCTGTGGCTGAGGGCGAAGGGCAAACCTTCTAATGATCTTATCTGAATTACTACTAGTACATATGATCCAGAAACCGAGCTTTGACAGTTACTCGTCACAATCTCTTTTGCATTGAAGGTGATCAACGAGAGCCGCGCCAACTGCACCTGCTCGGCGAGCAAGCATCAGCAGTACTCTGGTTGAGAGAAGAGAGAGGGAGATCGGTGTCATCTCTAGAAGAAGCTCCACTGTACAAGACCTGGAGAATTTAGAAACAAGATTATTTGGGGGAGGTGTAATGCATGGTAGTAGCTTTTCGTTTTCTTTGCGGTTTGGGTATAAGCAAGCAGAGGAAGGGTGCGCAATGCAGCAGTGGCATCATCAAGGATTCAAGGAAGCAAAGGGTGGAGAAGGGAGCAAAGGGGAAGATGGAGGCCGGAGAAAGAATTGTACAGTATAGTTTTTGCTGTAACTTCGCTATATATACCCCCCAACCACGCCCATATCCGGTGCATTCCCATAGAAAGTTACTGCCATTGTTGTCAGCACTGTTGCAAAGGAGCTCTAGGCTCTCTCGTTTAACACCATCACTCACACGGTCACACTCCATCAACAATAAAATACCGCGCTGGCTTTGCTTCTGTGTCTTGTTTCGGCCAAGCCCATTCCTGGCACCAATTTTGTGCTGATTAATTTTGTGCTGGACGATCAGGTCAGATGTGTTCAAATCGGCTTGCCCAAAAGTCTGGGTTGACAGTGAAAGGCAGTGTGATTACGATTACCGATTTTGTGCATTCCTTTTGCTTTGATGATGGGCGGGGCGAGTCGGCATAAAGGTTGGCCGGTGAGTTCACGGAACAAGGAAGGAGGCCCGTCCAATGAACGGCTGAGAATGCATGGTTACTTTATCGCCAGGGGTCACTGTCTCTCCATCATCATCATCGGCTTCAAAATATAGTCCCATGTCCATCTCAATTCACGGCCAGAAAACTATGGGCGCAAATTTCAACTGGGGAAAACTTTGGGCCCTCCCCCTGCCAGGTAAGATCCTCCACTTCTTATGGCGTCTAGTAACTTATAGTTTACCCTTAAGAATGAAACTAAAGCAGAGGGGTTTGGAAGTGGATACACGATGCCCAGTTTGCTTTAGACTTGATGAGGATGGAGGGCATTGCTTCCTGAAATGCAAATTTGTGAAAAAGATTTGGGGTTTATCCCAAATGGAACCTATCAGGCTGAAGTTGTTGTTGTGCACAAATCCTCTATGTCTATTGGAAGAAGTGTTTCGGCTGAATGAGGAGGAATGTATGAAAGTGTGTATCTTACTTTGGTTAGTTTGGCATCAAAGAAACAAAGCCAATGCTGGAGAGAAAATCAAATGCCCAGATGACATATTATCTTCTATTAATTACCATACTTATGAATACAGGAGCCTGAAGCAGCGGAGGATGATCCCAAAGCAGACAAACATCCAAAAGTGGACTCCTCCACCAGGTGAGTTTTTGAAAGTAAATACTGATGGTGCATTTCACAAAGGAACGCATACTGGAGGATGGGGGTTTACTGTAAGAGATGAGTATGGTTTACTTTTAGCTGCAGGTGCAGGAAACCTGGAACACGTCTCGGATGCCTTTCATGCTGAAGCACTAGCAATACTAAATGCGCTCAATGCAACAGCCAAGATGGGCTTCAACCAAGTCATCTTCGAAATGGATTCCACAGTGCTGAAGCAAGCAATTTCAAGTGAGGACTATGACCTAGCGCCACTCGGAGCCTTGTTCCAAGAGATAAAATTTCAACTGAGGATCGCTTTTGAGAATGTAAAACTTTATGTATGCCCTATGTCTTGTAACAATGCAGCACATGTCTTAGCAGCACATGAAGCTAGCTTAGGAGATGGCATGTATGAAATCTGGTTAGGCCAGTTTCCTGAACTTGTAATGAACTCTGTAGCTGGGGATTTAACCAGCAGGTCTCTGTAGTGGAATAGCAATTGTTCCCTTCAAAAAAAAAGAAAACTATGGGCGCAATGGGAGCCGCGCAAACTCCGAGCATTTGGGGCTGTGGTTGGTTTTCTGCCCCTTTTGGCCCATGCTTCTTCGATCCTTCTGGTAGTGTTGGTTATCAGGGGCGGAAAAGTTGACGCATGGGGTGCCTATCGTGAAAGCAGCTTGCATCCATCTCGCAAGGCACAAAATCTTTGTTTTATCTGAAAAAAAAAAGAAAGATGGGGATAGAAGCCTGAGGAAAGAGCTGCGCCTCGGTAGAGAAATGCTCTGCCCGCCCGCTCGTGAATGAAACCGACGGTGGGTATTCAATAGTTCCAAGCAACTGCCGAATACAATTGTTCCGACTTTTTTTTAAAACAAATTTTTTTACATGTTCTTTTTACTACAATTTTCTGTTGCTTTTAAGTGTGTTGTCCATTTTTGGGGTTTTGATTATCGTTGTGCGTTTGAGAAAACATAAAGTAGGCGTATAAGACCGGGGAGTATGGATAAAACATGCCTTTACGCGTAGTTACTTTCTGGATCAACACACGCGCGACGCGAGACATGTGCGTGTACTGGCGCGAAAACGGGCTCCAAAGAGTGCGGTCCCCGCCCCGTTTACCCACACCTTCGCGTGAGCGGTGGCGTGGGGGCGGTCCGATGCCAATCGAACGGCAGCGGAGAGCGCCCGTGAGAGGATGTGTGCTTAACCAGGATCGATGCCTGTTCCGTTCCGTGAGAGGGACGCATCTCTGCCCCGCCCCCGCCGCAGTCGCCGGCGTGAACGAAACAACGGAACGGAAGCCTTCCTTGGGAGGAAATGCGTGCGGCGGAGTGCCGTTTGGACGGCGCTGTCGCGGGAAACTTTTGTCCTGTCTTTTGCTGCCCGTCACGCTTCACACCCAGCAACGTTATCGTCGAAAACTTCCGACCTTTCCGTTTCAGAAAGTTAAAAAAGAAGAATATCGCTGTGCGAGAGCTGTACGCACCGGCGAATATGAGCTACAGTTTTTTTCTTTCTTGCACATAAAAGACGAGACGTTGCACTGGTCATCACTACTCCGAGACAACTGTAAAAGTACGACTACGGTGTAATCATTCAAAAAAAAAGAATAAAAAAACTACGGTGTAATCTGGCCCGTCTAGAGGATGGATGGAATGGAATAGGGCAGGCGTGCCGCAACGGCGGTGGAGGATAAAAAGGGTGAACGTGATCGAGTGAGCCCTGAGCTGTGATCGATCACCAACATATTTCTCCCGGGCGGCCTTTCCCGCATATTCGTCCGGTCTTTTCCACTCCTGTCCAGTGAGCACTGCACTGGCCTCCGTGTTGCGTCCCACCTCGATGCACCCGGATTCGTTGCTTCCTTGGTTCGATCAGGAGCCATCCCATCATTGGGTTGCCGACTTGTCCAACGTAAACCCGCGCCATTTGCGTAATCCGCCCGTCCCCGTCTAGGTAGTTAGGGCTGGGTTTGAAAAGTCGTACGCTTATGATATGAAAACGAGACTAGTGTGGCTAGTATGTATCCGCTTCAGAGTCAAATGTCAACCCTATAAATATAACCTCCTACCCGGTCAAGTCAACCCCGGTGACATTTGAGTAATATTTGACAATGAAAGTTTCCTGCACCGTATGAATAACTTGCTCTGCTGGCTGCAGCTTGCAAGTCAACCGCATCTCCATTTCACAAACAGAATGAGTGAGAACAGAATGAGCACGAGGAGGATGCCAAGTACGTAGTTCAGGTTCAGCATGCTAATACCACGTACACTTTCACTGCTACCTACTGGCAATACTAATAAAAATACAAAAGGCATAAGATTCATATGTTTTTTTCATGGTTATATCAAGGCATGATTCTGCGCGGGCGAATCAGCATGACCGACCGACAACATGAGTCGTGACGCAGCATGCAGCCGTGGGCGCGCACCAAGCTCGCCACAGTGCGTGCCGGGCTCGGCAAAAGGGCAGAGGGTGGTATCATGTCAGGGCCGGAGACACAATTCTCGGCCACAGGCTATCAAAGGTACTGTACGAGCAGCATGCACCACCAACAGCTCGGCCGGCTCGCCTGCGCCTCTCGTTTCGTCGTTCCAAAGAAACGCGACAAGGCGGTATCAGTGTCAGCCACTGTGCACTCACGTTGTAGTTGTGCGTGCCGAACCTACGTACGTTTCGTTTCGTCCGGAGAAACAGCATACCACACGGAGGATGGATAGATAGACAGATACTGGGCTGTGTTCCTTCTATTATCGAAAGGAAAAGGAAAAAGATACTGCCTATCTGTGTCGTCTCGTCGCCTCGTTCTACAAGCGTACGAGCGCGTGGTGGCTTTCCGTGTCACCGGGGGGACAATGATGCGTGCACAGGCGCACTCGGACGTCCGGCCGGATCACGGAACAGTGCGGTTGTTGCACGCACACGCATTCTGGCTCCTCTCTCTCGCGGGGGAGGGAGGCCGATGATGGCCACGGCGAAAGTGCACCACCCGGCGCCCAAGCCAGCCAGTGTGCCGCGGTGGAGTCGATCGGCAATGAGTCCCTGCACTCCTGCGCCTCCCACTGCGCAGAGAAAGCTCTGTGATGGTGCGGCTTTTGCCATAAACCGCGTAGTGCAGTAGTCCTACGATTCTTCTCTTTTGGTAATGGCTACGTACGTCCTGCGTGCATTGGACCGCTGGAGGAAGGTTGGGCGCTGGGCCTCTCCCTAGCTAGGCTCTACGCCGGTCCGTACGTAGGTGGCCCGGCACCGTCGTGAGATGGTACAGTGATCGCTGTGACAGGCTCCGGATCAGGACCACGCATGGGCATATGCGGATGCAGGCGAGGCTGTGTGTGGACTGTTCCAGAGCCGGAGGCGGGCTGCAGCGATTGGAGGTGGGGAGCCTTTGAATGCTGCTTTGGAATGGTGTCGTTGGTCGGCAGGAGCTGGCTGCGTCCGCGTGAGCTGAACCTGCGAATGCGGCAGCCGAATTCATTATGGCCAACTCCACCGCGCTATCTCAAACGGACGTTCGGTTTTGGGCGGATTTTATCCGTTTGGGACGGCAATGGGGCGGTCCATGTCCGCGTTTGTCCGATAGGTCGTGGGTGCGCCCAACGCGCGGCCGCATCCCAAAACCTGTCCGGGGTGGACGTGAATAAAAAAAGTTTAAAATCTAAATGAAATGACTAAAAAAAGTAAATAAACTTAGTTAAAAAAACATAAAACATATATATAGGGGTTACGGCCACAAAACGGCCCAGTTTGTCAGTCCACTTAACGGCCCAGTTCGTAATTAACATAAAACAAAAAAGAAAAACGCCTCCCGCGCGCTCCTGCTCCTGCCGCACCCGTCGATGCCGTGGCCGACGCCGCTCACTGGCCGCCGGTGTCATCGTCGTCGCTGACCAGGTCGACGTAGGCCGGCGGTGCGTGGTAGACGGGGGCTGGCTGGACGGCGGGAGGTGCCTGCACCACCTCCTCCCGCGGCGACGCCTCCTGCTCCGGTGACCGCGGCGGCGTGGGGCGCCAGTTCACGCCCACGGCGTCGGCCATCTCTTCTGTCGTGCACGACCAGCCCCACCCCTGGCCAACCAGGGTCGGGTGGACGCGGCCACCGGCGGCTCCTCCACCTCCTCCTCCTCCTTCGCCACCATCTCGAGCTTGGGGATGGCGACCTCGCCGGCGGCAGAGCGGGCCAGCATCTCCTCGAGCCCCTCCCACTGGCGCTCGTCGTGCGTGCGCATGGAGTCCTCCATGACGCGCGCAACGAGACGGGCCTCCTCCTCTGTCATGCGAGGTGGTGGTGGTGGCGATGGAGATGGCGAAGGCGACGGCGTGGGCGTGACGCCGCGCACCCACCTACGCCCGCGCTCCTGGGGAGCAGGCGCTGCGCGCTCCTGTCATGGCCGCCGCGTCCCCGTCGAGGTGCCGGCGAAGAACGACGCGCGCCTGGTATCGTGCTCGTCACGAAACCAGGTGTCCCAGAGCCCGGAGTCGGGGGCGTACCTGGCGTCGTAGAAGAGGTCGTCGGGGAGGCGGCGGCGGCGGCGCTCGATCTCCTTGTCGCGCGCACGGCCGCTCATCGGGACCGGCGGGATGGGGACCCGGTCGGCGGAGAGATGCCAGTTATTGGGGAGATGGACGTCACTCCAGGGGAGCGGCGTCCTCGTCTCCCAATAACGGCGGCACACTGATGCGCGGATGTAATGCCGGTCGCGCTCGCCGGCGGACGTGGGCGCGGTGGAGAAGGCGGGCGGCGCGGGGGCCCGGCGTGGTGGCGATGGCGACGCGGGCTCCTCTTTCTTCACCGAGCCGCGGCGGCACCCCGACGAGGAACCAGCCTCGCCGTCGTGCTTGCCTTTCCGGCCGTAGTTCCAAAGGCCCATGGCTGAGGGCGGCCGACCGGCGAGTTTCTTGGCTAGGGTTTGGGAGCAGGGGCTGCCGGGTTTCGAGGAGGCCGCGGGGTGGCGTGGGGCAGTGTGGACGACGACCCATCCACGCTTCCCACTTAAAGAAGGACGGCGACCGTTCGACGTGCGGATGACAGGTGGGGCCGCCCGCTCGTGCGCATTGATATTGGCCGGTGGGAGGTAGGTGGCTGCCTGCCACGCGGCCCCGACGCGGACGAGGCGCGCGTCTTTTTGGTGTCCGCCGCGACCCAAACCCGGCGCAAGTTTGCGCTCGAAATGGGTCGGCCCGGACACAAAACGGACAGGATGGGCCCGGGCCGTCGCGCGCTGGGCCGCCTCGTTTGTCCCTTTTGCCCCAAACGGACAGGGCCGGATAGGATAGGGTCGCGCGGTAGAGTTGGCCTAACGTGAGGCCAACTCCACCGCGCGACCCCAAACAGACGTCCGTTTTGTCCGGATTCTGTCCGTTTGGGTAGGGCAATGGGGTCGTGTCCGGGCAGTTTTCGGGATGCGGTGGCCGTGCGCCCGGCGCGCGTGCATCCCGGCCGCATCTTGTCCTCGTGCACATTTCTTTGCAAGTTCTTAAACTTTTT